AATTATACTAATAATTTTGAAATTTGATTCAAAATTGTTGGAATCGCTACAAAACCGACGAAACGTAACTTTAAGTTAGGATTTAAATACATTTTCATTCCTTTTAATCCAGAGAGTATACTTTGTGAAAAATTAGAATACCTACATGATAAATATAACATTTTTAAGCGGTTCAGTTTTACTTAACAGTGGATTACTAGGCAAGTAGATTAATATTTAATTAGGACTGTGGACCACGTGGCTTCCTCCACCTCGACCTTTTCAGATCTATTGTGGATAGCCATTAATCCTTGTTTAGAGAACCTTGTTTAATTCGGTATTTTCTAGTAGACTCCATATAGACTGATAAGTAGTTCTCCGGTGTAGCTAGTTGCCCTTGGTTTTTCTTCTCCAAATGTAAGGAATCTCTGCTAGACCTTCGCAGTAGCACAATACGGGTTCTGCCGTTTCCTCCTCTTCCTGACAGATTCGGCACAAATTCTCTTTTGTCAGAGCGATATTATACATGTGTTTGTTAATATGCCTACAATGCTCTGTTAATATATATACCTACTAGTATTTTTCCTATTAAGGCTTAGTAGATGCTCGGTGAGTTTAGAACTCTTTGGCCTGTCTCTGTCCTGGTGAGTTTTTCCACCACTCCTTGTGATTGTAATAAAACAATGTGGAGTATACTAAAGTAATGATTTTACTACTATTTTATAAAGTTGTTAGGTACATTACTTCAGATCGAAATCAAGTTCTTAATTAATGGCAATCATCATTAGGTTAGATCAGCGTTACTTAAAGTGTGGTCCGCAAAAAAATAGCAGTACTATCGCTACAAGAGGGAGGGACTTGGCTTGAAGCCTTTTTTTAGAAGTCACTAAACTTTTTTTTTAGAAATGTTTATAAATGGGCAATGGGCTCCGCCAAATATTTCGCTTTTCAAAAAGGTTCCGTCGCCAAAAAAGTTTGAGTACCACTTGGTTAGATTATGTAACGAGCCGTGGCTACATCGCCATCCTCCGTAAGAATAACTGTATTTATAAAACAATGAACGAAAAGAAAAATAATAAAAGATAAAAATACAAAAGAGTTTGACATTACAAGTCAAGCTTGTTTGACCTTCTCACTGTCCTTCCAGATGATCCTGATCTGGTCATTTGTTCGATCTGGACCTGTGATTGTAATGCGTTTGGATCCCGTCTAGTTATCCTACTATGTTCATTAAGCTGCGTCGTGGTAGCTTCTTCCCATACCTGAACTGGTTCTCTTGGAAATATAGGCAACTTTTCATTTTGTGTTTCTTGAACGGGTAGTTCAAAATGTACGTGTTTGTCGTGGTTAGATTGCATATCTTTTAGATGCATTCTATTTCTTCTTAGGGTCCTTCCATTTGGCGTTTTAACAATGTATGTTCGATGTTCCTTTCCTTGTCTTACTACAGTTGCTGGATGCCATAATTTGGTATGTTGGTTTTGAACTCTAATTGCTTGTCCGTCTTGGAGCGGCAATAAATCACTTGAATGCTTATTGTGATGTTCCTCCATTTTCTCCTGCCTTTTTTCGTATGTGTCTATAATGGTATCTCTATCTGGGTGTTTGTTGGCTGTGTGTTTTGGCAAATTAGTTCTAATAGTCCGATTGTATAACAGCTCTGCTGGACTTGGTATGCTAGTGCTCACTGGGGTACTCCTCCAATTGAGTATGGCCATGTATATATTCTGTTTGCTCTCCACTGTTTTTTAAAGAATATTCTTTATGGTCTGAACTGTTCTCTCAATGAAGCCATTTGCTTTCGGGAAGTGAGGAGAAGTTGTAGACTTAATACCCCAATCTAAACAGAATTTTCTAAACTCTTCTGACGCAAATTGTGGTCCATTGTCACTAATGATAACATCTGGGATTCCATTCTTAGAAATAATCTGCTTTTGAGCTATAAGTGCATTGCTTGTACAGTGGGTTGGCGTCTTCCTTAGAAATGGGTATTTTGACTAGTAGTCTTCAATCAGTAAGTATGTGTCTCCATCATGCACCGAGATAAAATAAAGTAGAGACGACATTAACACTTGAAGTCAATAATTTTATATTTGAAGACTGCGACGGAATTAAAATGATTTTAAAATGAAAATTTTCGATTTTGTAAAAAAATAAACGTACTTTACTCTTGAGCAAAATTCATATTTTTTGACAAACCTCGTATACGGCTTGAAAAATTTGATATCTGATGACTGTATTTTAAGTTTTGGGTCATGCAGGACTTTTTATCAAGAATAACTTTTTTTTCCTAAAATCAATAATAAAAATGTTTTCCATATGGTTCCAACTTAAGTAGTAAATCTTTTATACACTGTAGTAATGTGAAACTTTTTTATTGCACATTTGCAGAAGGCTAAATGACAAATAATCAGTGGCGGCTCGTGGGCACTAGCGGCAGTGGATCACACACTGCAAAGGAATCTCGGGATTCGTTTTTCCCTTAGGAAAACAAGTTCTCCGCTTAATGAAAATTAAATATATTTCAAAACAATCAGTTGGGGCAATAACGATTTCTGAATGTGACTACAGGGAGCTAAGTGTGACCACTCAAAATGCATTTAACTATGTATATGGCTATTTAATCAAAAAATCATTACATATCCACTCTTGCGAAATTTGCATAAATATCTCAGAAGAATGCAATTTACTTAAAAATTCTAACTTGTTAACGCATTTTAAAGCATACGACTCTGAAGAAAAGGTGTTTGGCAATTTAAAATCTCCCAGCGAAAAATTTCTCTTTTATATTTTTAAATTTAGAAAAAATATTTATATCTCTATTTGATAGTTTGTCAACTAAGCCTGGAATTTCCAACGCATACCTTTTTGAGATGAGCAAAATAGAATTTGGTCATCATTGCCAACAATTTGCGAAAATGTACACCATTAAATTATTTATAAGACTCAGAATTTTTTATACTCTTAAATATGCAAACAGAGATTTGAAATCCTCGAAAAAGTCAGACGAAACCAAAAGAAAAATTAAAATTTTGTCCCATTTATAAATATTATTGATTTTTTTTCATCATATTTTTGACTGCTTTATAAAAAAAAAGTTATTTTTCTTCGTAGTTTTATTTCTTAACTATTCCAATGGTCCAACTAACGTTTTTTCGTAGTCACAATAAATAAATTATTATCATGGTCCAACAAACGCGCACCTTAAGCCGAAACCGGCATCGCCTTTGTGATTGTGAGGGAGTCGCTAAAGATGCCGCTGCGTACATTCGTATTTGGTCTAGGTAATCTGTGCCATGGATACAGCACGTCACAATGAGGACAGTGCCCCGCTTGTGACGTATAATTCATCGCATGTGTTCATCTCTTGCTAAGCGATATTGTCGTTGTCCTTGTTTTTCGCATCATAATGAGAGAGAAAACAACAGAGGCACACATTAGGTTCTTTCGTTCGTCCCACTGGTGTAGTTGGGTGTAGTAATGAACTACACCAACCCACACCCATACCTTTCGTTTGGTCCGGTGTAAAACCCACTATACCTTCCTGTCGGCGATGTTGTGTACACTGGTGGATATTTTCTCCACCAGCTATTTAGCAGGAGTGAATTACACTCGACGATGTCTATAAGGAATAAGGAGGAAGTAAATTAGGGTAAATAAGGTGGTGTAACTGGTGTAATTTACACTGGTGGACACTACACCAATAGCGAACGAAAGAACCTATTTACTGTGCCCATCTTCCACTTAATTTCGGAATTCTCGGAACGTCGCTCAACGCCCGGTCGTCCAGTGTCGTGCCAACGCGGTTTGCGCTGAATATTAGATAAAATAATAATAGGCATTGAGGAAAATATAAAATATATAAGGTTTTTTTTTTGGTTTATTATACTAAAGCACGTGCCCAAGTGCCCTTATGGGCAAACCGCCACTGCAAATAATGTATCCCCTTTATAACAAAAAAAGAATACTTGAAATCGGACAATGTGTTAAAGAATTATCGCTGTACATACATAAAAAAATCCTTTTTTGAAGTCGGTTCAAAATAGTATATATGCAGTAACAAGGTTGGAATAAAAATTCGATCCGGGTATCGGATTTTCATCCCAACAGAGTAACAGACTGTACTTTCTCCACGGCCATAGACGCAGTATAAGAAGTTGAATATAGTAGATAAAATGAAACTTTGAACTAAATGAAATAATTAATATAACATATAGTTTTTATTTAAATTATTTGCATAATTTGTCAGTTTAAGAGGAATGTTATCAAATTCTATATAATAATCATATTCACCAATTTTTTAATTTAAGTTTGATTTAACAAACACGGCTTATATCTTTATTCAGGTAAATTCAAACTAAATACTAATACGTCGCGTAGAACTGTCATTCATGAAATTCATGACAATCTACGATGCGGGCGTGGTATTCACAGCCATTGGTCAGTAGCTATCACATAATGAACATTCTGTTTCTATAGTTAGATTTAAATACGTGTAAAATACATACGAGGTAAAGTGTTTCAGAATTTTCTTTCAATCTCAATAGCGAGAATGTTTTTTTGTGTTATTATAAGAAGTAGTTTCGAAAGAACATTCAGTAGTGGCCGTGGAGAAAAACAATTAAATGTTTACAATTTAAAACTTATTGCTAAAATTTACATGAAACATATAAATATAAAATATCCTTACCCTAATTATTAGCACACCTCTTATAACTTCACTTTTTGTCAAATTCACATTTTCATGCCAACTTGTAGAGAAATTACATGTTTCAAACCTCATAAATCCAGAATAATATTATTCTGGATTCCGGATTCTGGATTTATGAGGTTTGAAACATGTAATAGAGTTTTTTTCTCTACAAGTTGACATGAAAATGTGAATTTGGCAAAAAGTGGAGCTACGAGGCTGGCTAATTATTAGGGTAAGCTTGATTAAAAAATTGTTTGCAGACAACTATTTTACACAAGTATATTTATGAAAGATTTGTCAACTGAAACTGACATTAATTTATTTTTCAGAAAATGTCACGCAAACTTAAGTCACTTATTAAAGTAACTTTGGGAGGATATGTAACGTATGCAGCAATTAGTATTTATAAAGGCGAAGAATCATTTTACAAGAACCTAATTATGCCTATAGTTCATTTACTAGACCCTGAGCAAGCCCATAATGCCGCAATTTTTCTAAGTAAATATCGGCTAGTTCCTAAACTATCTTACAGCGACCCAAAATCGTTAAAAGTAAAAGTATTTGGGATAGAGTTTCCAAACCCTGTTGGTGTAGCCGCAGGTTTTGATAAAAATGCAAAAGCCGTTTTAGGTTTAAAAGATATGGGATTTGGATTCGTTGAAATTGGTTCAGTTACTCCAAATCCCCAAACTGGAAATGAAAAACCTAGAGTTTTTAGACTCTCGGAAGATGCAGCAGTTATTAACAGATATGGTTTTAATAGTGATGGACATGAAGAAGTTCTTAAAAGAATTGTAAAGATCAGAAATGAAAATAAATATGTGATTATTGGTGTTAATTTAGGTAAAAATAAAACATCTGAAGATGCTGTAGGTGATTATGTTCAAGGAATTAATAAATTTGGCACATGTGCTGATTATCTTGTAATAAACATTAGTAGTCCAAATACACCAGGTCTTAGAAATATGCAAAACAAAGAAATTCTTAAACAACTCCTAACAGCATCTTTAGAAGCCAGGAATAATTTAAAAATTGAAAACAAACCACCGTTGCTTTTAAAGTTAGCGCCAGATTTAAATTATGAAGAAATGAAAGACATAGCTGAACTTCTTAAGAACAAATCTTGCAGGGTAGATGGTTTAGTAATAAGCAATACTACTATTGATAGACCACCACATTTAATTTCTAATAATAAAGAAGAAACTGGAGGTTTAAGCGGAAAACCTCTTAAAGAAAAATCAACACAAATGATTTATGAGATGCGGCGTTTAACAGATTTACCTATCATCGGAGTTGGGGGAATTTCAAATGGAACAGACGCTTATGAAAAAATTAAAGCTGGAGCTACACTGATACAAATATACACTTCCATGATATATGAGGGACCGCCAATTGTTACTAAAATTAAACGCGAACTGGACTGTTTGCTTACTAAAGATGGATTTAATAATATTGCTGACGCTGTTGGAAAATAGTGATATAAAGAAATTATGTGTGATTATGATATGTATAAAACTTACTTGTAATTAGTTTTTAGTAATATGGGTGGTTTTAACTTGGTTCAATAATGAACTGGATTCAATTTTAAAAACTTTTTTTATATGTACCTACCTTGAACCAGGTTTGTATACAGTGTGTCTACGTTAGGCTACACACAAAAAACTTTTTTATTATTAGTTTTATCAAAAAAATGTATTCTTCATAAAAAAATGGGCATGGTCTAAAACCTAAAACACAACCATCAAATTTCAAATTTTATCAATCGTATACGTGGTTTGTCAAAAAATGATTTTTGGTCAAGAGTAAAGTACATTCTTTTTTGACAAACCTGGTATACGACTCATAAAATTTGATATCTGATAGTTGCATTTTAGGTGTTAAACCGTGCACAATTTTTTATGAAGAATATTTTTTTTTTCTAAAATTAATAATAAAGTTATTCTTCATAAATGTTCTTCATGACTTAAAATCTAAAATTCAATCATCTGGTACCAAATTTTAACTAGAATGAAGATATAATGCTTGGCATTTTATATTATACTCTTCACAGTTTAACAGACCCTCTAACCCTATTTTTAATAAGATTTTTTTCAGAATCAATAGGCTTCATTAAAAATTTCAAGTTGATAATATTGATCGTTTTTAAGTTAGAATGTTTTCAAATATTTCAACCCACCTTAACACCCCATTTTTATTCAATTTTTTTCAGAATCAATAGGCGTCATCTCCTTATAAAACTTAATTTTTTCTAAAAATTTCTTGATATCGCTTTTAGTTTTTGATTTATAATTTTTTTTTTATTCAAAACCACCATTTTAATCAGAATTAAAGGGCTTCTTCCCCGTATAGATCTTAATTTTTGCTAAAAATGTCAAGTTGATGTTTTTCGTTGATAAATTAGAATTTTTTTATCGTTTAACCCACCAATTTATTCATTTTTTTTTTTTTTTAAATAAATAGGCTTCATTTTCTTATGGAGCTTATTTTTTACTAAAAATTTCATGTTGATATCACTTTTCGTTCTTGATTTATGATTTTTAATTTCAGCCCCCTGCAATTTTTATTCAGATTTTTTTCTAAAATCAATAGACTTGGTCCCCTTATATAGAGCTTTATTTTTTCTGAAATTTTCAAATTGATATCGTTTTTGACTTATCGTGCGGACAAAAAACGTGACATCGAACGGACGGAACCAAATGCATAATACTCTTCACAGACTATATACTGTGTGTTAAATGTAATAAAGGTGGGTACTTTTTTCTTGAGCAAAATTTATATTTTTTGAAGCACCTCGTATAAAACCAAAAAAGTTTTGCATTTGTAGCCAACTTTACACAGACACACTGTATATGGATGTGATTCCATCCAACCATCCTCATATTCAATATTCTACAGTTATAAACAATTGCATATTTGTTTCCTATTTTTATATATTTTTTTAATTAATAAAAATACGAACAATTAGTAGTTTTTTTAGGCGTTAAAGGCCGATTCCACCGTTGTGTTAAACGAAGTTTAAATTACTAAATGACTGACAGTCTCTGCCTGCGGATCCAAGGGCCCCAGGTTCGAATCCCACCGTTGGCCGGGATTTTTTAAAATTTAATTTAATTATTAAAAATTAATTCTGATGCCATGGTAGGTTCGCCACTCGATCATTCACTGTTGGGTTCTAATAATTAACAGCTAGTAGTTCTTAAAGTTTGTCTGTAGGGGTGTAGGAGTATTAGACACTAGTACAATCCATAACCTACATAAAACACGAGGATAATGACATTAGATGTTGAAGCCAAAAGACACCAATAAAAAAAATATTAATCCTCGGATAAACAAACTCGCACAAATTATCCCCACTAAAATTAACAGCCGTCTCGTTCTTTCTAATGCGACACAGCTCTGTCTGCGTAATATAAAACACAATCTAAATGATAAATAAGGGCTTAATTTTGAATGAATTAGTCTAATAGCCTTTCGTCATTGTTTCAAATACTAACAAAACTGTTTCCAATTTGAGCTGCCATTTTAATCTGTAATAAAATATACAGAACGGTTTTTTGTGTATATAATGAAAATTGTTTCTTTAAATTTACCTTTGATTCAGAAGACCTATTGTACGTGTATATGTTATTTAAGATAGATTTGATTAATAAATAATTTTTATAGAATTTAAATACACTTCCCGAAACTGCGGTTATGTGCAACGTAAGACACCCCTTTTCCCGTCTGGGTAGCTATTCACTAAGTCATGGGAGCACTCCCATGGGAGTGTTCCCATAGATAAATTAATATTAAATTATCTATGAGTGTTCCCATATATTTTGCTCTCTTACTCTTAGGTGGGTATATCGTGCTTACTCCGACCTTACTACACATGTACCTGGGCTAAAAGTGAGTAAGCACGATATACCCACCTAAGAGTAAGAGAGCAAAATATATGGGAACACTCCCATGGGAGCGCTCCCATGACTTAGTGAATAGCTATCCTGGTATATCATGCGGATATAGTGTATTATGGTTATACAGTGTGAAGAGCAAGTCTATTTTAGATAATATGATGTCTATGGTTATTTCGGAAGGACAAAATAATTACGAATGGGAACGAACTCTTTTAAAATGAGGAACGCGCTTCAAATGTGTTGAGTTGTCATTTATACAATCTGTCATTACTGTCATGTCATTTGTCATTAAGTCATCAAACCACTTTTGTGGTGTGGTAGAATTTGCAGACTTTAATTTAAAATACGAAATAACTTGAAATATATTTCATATTTAACATAATTTAACAAAGAGTTATGACTATGACGGACCAGTCAGGGGGCGAAGTTCCCCATTTCGTTGCCCCAATTATTCAGGACAATCCCACCGGATGGGGTCCATGTGAAGTGCCAGATCAGTTTAAAGATATGCCATACCAGCCTTTTAGCAAAGGTGATCGGTTAGGGAAAATTAGTGATTGGACCGGTGCCGCTTTTCTGGACAAAAAATATGCCAGTAAGTATATCGATGCATATGTTAAAACATAACCTTATAGTTTTTAAAAAATTACCATGGACATGACAAAAGAATGAATTAAAAAACGTCGTGTCTAGGATTACAGCACCGTAAGCAAAGAAAAACACTGATTACGCCTTATTTCGATTATACATATGGAAAAATTTTGAAAAACATTTTATTTTCCTAAACTGTACATGTAAAATTATGGTATCTATAATACCTATATGATAATAAAAAAACTTTTAACCAAACTACCTAACCTGTACAGCCTGAAGCCATCAATAAAGGCTTAATTTTTTTTTATAGAAAATATCAAAAATATATTTCCTTGCAATTTTTTTTCTCTTCAAAAAAATTATCAGGTAGTTAAAATTAAGAAAAACAAAGTCAGGCACTTAAAGTTGTGGGAGAGGTAGTACTTAGTACTAATATCATTCAATTTTGCAATATGACGCCAGTTTGTGATTAAAATAATATAATTTAAAAAACGAATTGGAAAAATGATAAGTCAATGAAAATTAATATTGTTCATGTACTTACTTGATATTCATATATATCACCATTTATTTGGTTAATATTATTGTATGTATATGCTCTTCAACTTCAACCATCTGAAATAATGATTCACCTCTTCAACTTATTTAAATGATGTGCAAAATTTACAATTAAAAACACTTCATTATTAAGTAATAATACAAAACCACAAACCCAATTAAAAAAAAAAACAAAATGAATAGCATATTTGGTGGTAAAATTGCAAGTACAGTAGAGCATCAATAATCCGGAATAATTGTGACTGGAAGCTGTTTGGATTATCAAAATTTTTGAATTTATAACAAAAAGAAACCTGCTAAAACTGTTAATAATTGACTTTTGTGGTTAGATAGAACAGATAAATAAAGCCATTAATTAATATAAAGTTATAATGTATTTTAATGAAAGAATATACACACATGTAATGTACAATATGTATTTACAGAATACTGTAGTTTATACATTGTCAGAGCTCACAAAAAAAATTTGTTACTGATTTTTGTACTGCTGTAGTGGTTCACTTTTTTGTGGTTAAGTCTTTGATTTGTTTTAATGGATAATCTGGATTATTGACTGTCCAGATTTTTTGATGTCTGAATTATTGACGCTCTACTGTATTTCTAAATATTACAACATGCTCTCAATTATTTGAATGTTTTCATATACAAGTGCATTAGCAAGAAATAAAAAAAATATATAAATGAAACTTATATGAAAATATCTATTTCTGAAATAAAATAATGAAGATTCTTCAAAAAGTTTTTGCTTGTGGTTGTAAACCAAACTTTTTCTCTCTCGCTTATGGTGCCATTAAGCCTAGACATAGCTTAAAAAATGTAATGAATTATGTGGTACTCTGGGTACCTATTAAGTCATGCACTTCTGAAAGTAGGATTTTTTTTCAGATAAATATGCTTCCCAATTTGGTTCAGGCAGTCAGTATGCTTATTATCATGATGAAGATGAGAGCACTTTTCACTTAGTTGATACAACTAGAGTTCAAAAACCACCTTATCAAAGGGGTCGGTTCCGTGCTAATCAACGTAACATGCGTGGTAGAGGTGGTAGGTCTAATACTCAATCAGGAGGAATGCAGGCACTTGGTAAGGGGCTGAAAGCTAGGGATACTTACAAGAGAAGTCAGGTTAAGAGGTGGGGCCAAGGACGTGTAAGTATATAATAATATATCAGTATTAAAAATAAGACAAATGAGAAATGCACCATGTTCCTTTTTAGTACTGGGGTTTAAGCAATGCTTTGTTCCTTTTTATATAAGTACTGGAGGGTTAAGCAATGTTTAACAGTTACACTTTGAGCACTTGAAAAAAAATAGTATTGTTTGTAAATTGTCTTTACCATCCATGATAACATATTTGCAGGTTTAGTTTAATACTATCATAATTAAACGTTTCCCTCTAAAGTTCTGCTATGGTGTACTTTTTTTTGTAAATATTTGATTTTATTATTATTATATTGTTCTCTTGAAATAACCCTGAAGATAATTATAAAAATAAATACATTTTAGCCACAAATCAAAATTAGGGATGCTTCTGTTACTGTTAGACCAGATTGGTCTACAATTGAGGAAATGGATTTCCCAAGATTGGGAAAATTGTCTCTTCCAGGAATCAAAGATGGTAAGTTAAAAAATTCATTTAACTGCAATTCTAATTTTAATATATCCCTTTTTTTTTTGTTAAGGTGAGGACATTCTGTGTTGTGGAGAATTAGAATACTATGACAAGACTTATGATCGTGTCAATGTTAAAAATGAGAAAGCCTTGCAGAGTGTCAATAGGATTTTCCATACTGTAAGTTTATTGAATTTTGAAAACTTTATAAACAGACAATAATTCTTTAATTTTATTGTGGTTCATTTTTTATTTAGTTCAATCGATTCTAGAAAGCTTTCTTTTAGGTTACTACCACTGATGATCCTATTATCAGAAAACTTACAAAAACTGAAGGAAATGTTTATGCAACTGATGCTATTTTGGCTACAATTATGTGTTGCACAAGATCCAACTATTCTTGGGATATTGTTATTGAGAAAATTGGTGAGTAATGCATTTGATACTTTAAAGAATTTTTAAAAACTCAATTAGTATTAAGTGCTTTGTTCTAAACATTTCTGGACTGTGCTGGACTGAAGATGGGCAGATTTAGATCTTACACAATTTTAAAATTATTTATTTATGTATAAAAATAAAACATTAATACACTTTCAAAAAAATTCCTTAATCCTTTTTTATATAATTAAAAACTAAACTAATTATGGCTCATTTATTTGTAGGTGACAAACTATTTTTCGATAAAAGAGACAATACTGAATTTGATTTACTTACTGTAAATGAAACTTCTGTTGAACCTCCACAAGATGATGGCAACTCCTTGAATTCGCCTAGAAACTTAGCTTTAGAAGCCACCTTTATTAACCACAATTTCAGCCAACAAGTAAGAGTACCTAGTTTTAAAATAATTAAACTGAATTTAAAATACATGGAGTTGAAACAGGGACTAGAAAAAAATAAAATATCTCTAGAAACATTGGCATTCAAGCAAAATTTGTCATGATTTCGGTGATTTCAAGAGAAAACACCAGTATTTTGGGAGTGGTTTACCCCTCGATGTACATGTCTTTTAAAATCACACTATTTAGAATAGAAGAATGCCTTGCCAATTAATTATATACATTTAAATTAAAATTTAAAATATAGTGCAGGCAAGATCAAACCTTCAGTCCCACTTTGCTTGTATTTGAGTAAATGGTGTTAGCAAGTGCAGGAGAGAAGGATGTGGTATCGATGCTGACAGTTACTTGACCTGTGAAGTGCAACATTGATACTATGTTATTTCTTTTCTTGCATGTGCAAGCACTATTTACTATTCATTCAAACACTAGCGAGGCAGGACCAAAGGTTTGATCTTACAAGTAATGCAGAATAAATAAAGATAATTTGCATTTCATGCAAGTTTTTTACATTAAGCTGAGATTAAAGAATATGAATATGTTTTTGTTATCAAATAATTATAAATTATATGGTATGTTCCTAAAGTTTGATCCATATGGGTTTTTATTATGATTGGAAAAAAACGTAGGACAAACGGATCTGCTTATTTTAAAACTTAAAATAGCTAATATCAAAGTTGCCTACTGACATTCACATTAAAAAATGTTTTTGAATGATACGTCAAAAAATACCTAACTAATTTTAATAGAGACTATTTTAAGTTTTTAAAACAGCAGAGTTGAATGTCCTACAACGTTTTTTTCAAATCGTAATGTTAAATAGTTCCCATATGAATACAGCTTTATCTAACACACTGTATATATTGTGATGGATAAAAATTAATTAATTAATAATTGTCATTTATTGACCTCAAAATTCAGTCCAATAGGCTATCGACCGAAGTCCTTCTGCCTATTGTACTGCATACAAATGGGTTATAAATATTTTATATCACAGATAAAGTGGATAAAAATCTCCAACATATAATGTCAATTTTAAATACAGTTTTAAATCATTCCAATTATGTAATACAAACTAATTTAAGATGTCATTGTTTACTTAAAATTCCTAAAGTTCATTGGATTTTTTTCTGGATTCAATGAACTTCTAGTTTTTCAAAATTGAAGATTCTGTTTATATATCAAGGCATGTTTCTTAGGTATTGAAAATAGGAGCTACTGAACCTAAATACAAATTTGAAGAAGTTAATCCATTCATATCTGAGGAAGAAGATGGCGAATTTGCCAGCGTGGCCTATAGATACCGAAAATGGGACCTTGGTGGAGGCATTGTAAGTATTTTTGTTAAATAAAATAGTAGAATTCCTAATGTGATGAAATTTAATACTGCCGTGCTTCACTTAAAAGTGGTATCCCCCATTTTATGCTTAATTGAGTTATGGTGTTTAATGCATACAACACATCATTTTACATATTCTTTTTATAGCTAAAAAGTTGTAAATGTCTTTTAAAATATAAATATCTGCCCATAAAAATAGTCACATCACAATTATTAAGAAGCTGTAACTTTAAACTTTATTTTCTCCTTTATATATTTTTGGCAGATACCACTTTTAAGCAAAGGACGGCAGAATAACATTTACATTTCCTTTACAAGCTTCTCCAACCATTATTTTTTTTTAGACTTTGGTGGCTAGATGCGAACATGATGCAGTAGTTCAGTCTCCAAATGGTGAACTCCAATTCCTTACCATCAAAGCCTTAAATGAATGGGATTCCAAATTAGCAAATGGAGTTGAGTGGAGACAGAAACTGGATACACAAAGAGGTGCTGTTTTGGCTAATGAACTCCGCAACAATGCTTGCAAACTGGCCAAGTGGACAGTACAAGCACTTTTGGCTGGTAGTGATCAGATCAAGTTTGGTTATGTGTCTCGTGCACATGTGAGAGATAACAGCAAGCATGTTATTTTGAGAACACAGCAGTATAAGCCTCATGAGTTTGCTACACAAATTAATTTGAATATGGATAATGCTTGGGGTATTTTAAGGTAAGCCATGAATGTTATACAATATGATATTTATTATAACTTTTTTTTTGAAATTTCAGATGCATTGTTGACATTGTAATGAAACAAAAAGATGGTAAATACTTGATAATGAAAGATCCTAACAAGCCCATGATTCGTTTATATGACATCCCCGATAATACCTTTGAATCAGATGGAGAAACTGAGTCAGATGATGATGTTCCGGACAATGCTACTGCTTTCCCACTATATTCTTATAATACTAGTTCCAAGCGTTAAGAATATAATTTTTAGGCACAAAGTTGTAGATGTGCTTTTTCATATGAAAAATAAACATTGAAACAAATTTGTGTTTATTTTTTTTTTCTTTTTCTTGACTAAGTACGTTTAATGATAGAATAATTTAACTATTTTTTTTTATACAACAATAATCAAAAGTATTACTATAAATAATTGTATTACATAAAATATTAAAAAACTACTACTCTTTTCTCATCACTATCGGCTGAAAACCAAAGAGGTCGGTCAACAGAGGTAGCTTCATTGAAGAATTCAGTCAGAATCGTTTCATTGGCGGGAATATAGGCACGCTGTCCGTGTACCATAACATTTTTATTATTTTGCTGTAGCATATTTTAGTGTATTTTATACTTCAGTTTTCAAAATTTAAATTTAAACATTCAGGTCATCGTACTGAAAAAACGGCGCTTTAAATTTGGTGGTTGCTATGATTGATTGGGTGTATTTATGAAACAATCCTGCAAAAATTAATTATGTGGTAATTAATAAACAACCTTAGTATTTTGAGATGTTGCAGCTGATGGACTCGTCGATCGCCGGATTAATTCTGTCGATAAAGTCGTGTTTCGTATTGATCATCAAATGATCTTGCGCTGCAAAAGAAGTATGTGGCTATTGTATTAACATCGTATGATGATTGTTCCTCAAATAAAGATTATATATTTTTGTATTATTATTAATATGAATTTTGCAATTTCATTAACCTCCAAAAAAGAATCCTTAATCTCTATTTCTAGTAAGGTAATCATCATAATTGTGCTTTATAATTCTTTGTTCTAGACATTTTTTTGCATATACAAGACTTTCTAAAATGAAACAACAGGGAAATGGTAAAATTTTTAGATTTTTAAAATTGACTTTGAAATGTTCTATATGACATTCTTTCTTTTGTAATATAAACAGGTTTCCTGCTTGGCATGAATTACCCCAAACCATTAGTAATTTATTGCACCATCTTTAATATACAACAAATCGCATTTTACTCCACTGTCTTTATATCTTGTTATTTAAAGTCTTCTTCACTATCTTTACTTTAAAAACAAAGAAACACCATGTAGCCATTTTTCAGTTGCAACATTGGATCAATTTTTGGTCTTTGAAATTTTTAGAAATGAAATTTGGTAGGTACCTAGAATCTCCAATATAAAAATAAAGAAACAGGATACCTTCAGGTAAGTATATGAAAGTCCATGATAACAGTAGGTCTGTTCCTTAGATTTTTTCTAACCTCTTGGTCTGTTCCAACAACAATCGGAAACTACTAGTCCTTGGCATCAAAATTGTGCGTAGCAAATTATAGCAGGGGAGGAAATTTGAAATACTTTTGGTAGGTTTTGAGAGGGGGTAAATGCTGAAACACGTCGGAAGACTTCGGGAATTTCGCGGTAATCTTTATCTACCAGTGGTGTGTTTCATAGATTAAGCAATTTTAAATTGTTTCCGGCCGAACCGGACAATCACATGTATGTATGGATTAGAAATAATAAACAAGTATAATATTCCAAAAGATAATACTACAAAATTCCAACAGCTATTCATAATTAAACTATTTGCCCGAAATTGTTAACATCTATAAAATAACCCAATGTATCGGGCCCACTTTGGTTAGCTCCGCCGCATAACTATCAATTCCAGTGTACGAAGTAGGAGAACTGGCAATGGCCTTTCCTACTTCCCCCTGCTATACTGTGTTTCTGATCATTGTTGAAACAGACCTTATAAAAAGATGGTATATTTCACAGATTGATACTAGGTCCCGATGGAGCCGTATTGTGGTGCAGATGCTAGTCTTTTAGGAATTTGAGGTATCAGCTGATCGAAAACAGCGCTAAAATAAATTTTAATCAGTTGAATCTGCTCAGGCCACACCACACTAGGTCATGTGCGAACTTTAACGAGATTTTGTCGCTAAGTACGAGTATATACCTCTGAAATTTTTATATAAATTGAAAATCGAAGATATTGAACCCAAAAAATTGGCAGACTTAAAATTGAAGAAACTGTTATGATCATAACTGAAATATTGTAAATAATTAAACCAAAAAAGTGCAAAATAAACGTTTATTAAATACTTATTATACATATTATTTTACAGTTATATTATTAAGTAAAACCTAGGATGTTTTTAAAGGATCAGAATTATTATTAGAGATATTAATTCTTTTCAGTATTTCCAAAAATTCTATCCTAACTGATAAATTTTGTAGACCTGTAAGGTTTCTTAAATAAGGTAATAAAGACAACAAAAAATATCTATCTTCATCTATATCTTCATGAAAAGTGTAATTAGCAACATCATTTAAATTCTCAGTTTCTGATGACTCGTCCCAAAGTTCCACAGTTGGAGCTTCTGTTGATGATTTTTTAACTTGTTTACTTTTTTGTACATTTGATGAAGAGTCACTATCACCATTTTGAGTATCATCACAAAATTCGTAATTAGAAGATCTTTTAATTGATCTCTTAGACTTAATTTGAGATATTTCACTTTCAAATTTTACATTTTTTTGTTCATCACAAGATTGATTTTTATGTAATTGAGATTTTTTTCTAGTTACTTCTGCATCTTTTATTAAAAATGGTTCCAAAAACTGCATGGATTTGTAGTAGAGATATTCACGTTTTTTCTTTGGATATTTTGGTGGTTTTAGTTCATTTTGTATATTTAATTCTTTTCTGAAACTATCCCTCAAGTTTTTCCACTTTCTTTGCACAAGAAGAACTACAAAATGGAAAGTAAGTTAATGAATGAAATAATAATTATTTTAAAAATCTTGAAATTAATATTAAGTGTACGTATCTACGTGCGCATAGCCAAATCCATTTTCAAGCCATGCATTGGAGTAAAAATGTTAGGCAGGATTTATACAAAGTTGTCAAAATTTAATGTATACATTTTAAAAAACTATCATAATGGAAATTCAAATATAAAAATAAATACTAATGATGATTACCTCTAGAGTTCCTTTCCGCTAAGGCTATTTCATTCCAATTTGGAACAATTTCATTGCAAATTTCCAACCACAATCGTTCTTTTTCATCTTTTTTATAATCTGGATGTAATCTATCATAAATTCCCGGCCTTTTCTTAACTTCTGCTATTAATCCAGCACAACTGAGGTCCCATCGAGGATCTTCTGACATGAAAGCGGTTATTTATCCGCTTCGATAATGGAAATTCTGTAAATAAAATGTCCGCTCGGTTTTCGCCTCCGCCCGTCGCCGTCGTTGTGTAAGTTTTGTTGTACACTCTCTACACTATACTTGTTCGTTTGTCGATTTGCTGTCCGGTTAAATTTAAATCAGTGGTGCATCTTCCGTTAAGCTGAAGCGTAACCTTCGTGTTAAAATAATTTTCATCAATAATCTTCGTGGTTTATACCTGATATATGCATATATAAAATAAATAAAACAAGTTGACTTTAAAGTATTCAGAAAACAAGTTTTCACCAAAGCCGATCCTGCCTTTTTATGACTTGTGATAGTTAACATGTCAGTTGTCACAAAATATATTCTGACGTTTACATTTTAAATGTTTATAAAGATTTGTAAACAATTTTTTTGTTGATAGTGATAGTGTCCTTATATCTATGGTCCTTATGTATTCATTTTCAGAAACAAATAAAATAATATCGGAAATTAGAAAGAGGCCGGCCCTTTACAACAAAAACCATGCCGATTATAATAATAAAGAATTCAGAGAGCAAATGTGGACAGATATTTGCTGGGAATTATATCCAAATTGGTCTGATTTGGACGAATTTGATCGACAAGCAAGATGTAAGGCAAATATATGCCTACATATCTTTATACTATTTTGAGTTCTTTATGTTCTATATCAATGATTTTATTTAATACATTTTGTGTTATTTTTAATTAAACAGAACATAAATGTAATCCTTTTAATTTGCAGTTAAAGATATTCAAAAGAGATGGAAAAATATGCGAGATAGCTTTAGAAAAGAAATAAAAATTCAATCAAAAGCGAGAGCTGGAGTTATTCGAAAAAAGAGGGAATATGTTTATTACAGGCAGATGAAATTTATGATACCTTTTATCCTAGAACAAGAAAGTTCCAAAGAAAATTCAAATCAAGATCAGTTGAGTACTTTAAGTGTAGAAAACACAGAACATGAAGATGATAATGATGATGAAGATAATAATGATGCTGACGAAGAAGAAGAATATAATGATGATGGTGAAGATAATAATGATGAAGAAATTACAACATGTAAATTTGAGAGTGAAGATACAAGGTTTTCAAATTCGTCTCATACTGCTGAAGATGATGAAGAAAATGAAGGGAATAAGGAGCAACCAGTATTAGAAATGTGGGATGACAATGTCGAAAATGGACATTATAACAACTGTAATCATTCATCATTTAAAGATGTTGACCAGGATAGGTATTTTTTATTGTCATTAGTACCTTCATTTAAAACTCTCTCCCCCCAACAAAAACTAAATGTTAAAGTGGAATTTTTGAAGGTGTTACAGAGAATATCTGAAGGTAGCAGTGATAAAATAACTTAGTCCTTTTTATTTGGGTTGAGCTTCTGTTTGACACAAATATACCATATTTTTATTATTGAGAGCTAACAGAAGTTATTTTGCTGCTAGAATGTAGTATTGAGATGAGATGTCCACATGCCAATGATGCTTTAATGCTGGTGCAGATTAGGTAACAAATTTGGGGTCTGTGACAAAAAAATCTGGCAAGTTAAGTTTTGTATATAGCAGGGATAGAAGTTGGAATGGCTTTTGGTAAGTAGAGAGGTAGCAAACGTCAAACCCTGTCGAACCACTTTGAGGATTTCACGGTATTGTTTATTTGCCAGTGTTGTAACATAGAATAAAAATAATATCAAACATTTTAAATTATTACTGTCAGAATCAGGCAATCGTATCTATTTATGGGCTAGAAATAATTATTTAAGCAAGTAATAATTCCCAAATTATATACAAAATATGAACAGCTATTCACAATTTATTAAACTATTTACACAAAATCGTTAATAGCATTTATATAATAATTTTCTATGCCAATGTTTGGCATTCACTTCGGTTAACTCCGTGGCCAAACTGTTAAATCCTGTGTATGAGTGTCTAGTATTAAACTGTAAATTATTGTAATTATTTACTAGTTGTTACCAAATGGGTGTATCATTCTAGATATGTAGACCAATAAATAAATAAATAAATAATATAAAGTGGGAGAAATGCAAAAAGCCTTTCCAACTTCTGTTCTTGCTTTACCACTTTGTTTTCTAATTATTGACCTTGTCACTATAATCATAAAGTAAACGACACACAATTTTTTCTCACATACATATCACATTTTTGAATCTAATTAGACTAGCTGGTAATCTTGTAGTTTAGGTGGGTTTTAATTCATATATCTTCACTACTGACGTTTCGAATTTGAATTTTACACCTACCTCATTCCTAGATTTCCATTCTTGTTTTGCAATTTGTTTTTTATCTTTTATTTTGATGGCAAGAAAAATCTGTGTTTCACAAAAAAAAAATACATCAAAATAACTTAAAATTAAAGATTTTTATATATTTCTAAAAAATTTCCTTGCCCTCAAAATTTATTTTTGACGGCATACCTAACTAAAATTTATTTTTCCTTATTAGGTACTACCTGCCTAAACTACACAATTACCGACAGGCCTCAGTATAATGTGGCCAGGTATAGTATGTCACTTTGTCTTAGACTTTACTGTCTTATTTATTAACAATATATATGTGTTGTAATCAAAAAATAACGCTGAATAATTTTATTAGAAACAAAATAAGTTTACATGGGATTAGTTTTAATCACCTTTAATTTACTGTCCTTTGGCTAGCAATGCACATATCCATGACTGGAAGGCTTCTTTTGAAAGGACATTTAGCTGCTCTGTTGTGGCTCTCTCAATGTCAGAAATGATGTCAAAACGTTTTCCTTTGAGCACGGTTTTAATTTTTGAGAAGAGTCAGATGTTACATGGTGCAAAATCTGGCGAGGAAGCCAGATGTGGACAGACTGGAACACTTTTTCCGGCCAAAAACTCACGAATCAAAAGTGAAGTGTGGCACGGCGTGTTGCATTGATGAAGAAGGAAGCCATTAGTCCAAGAGCTAGTAACACACATTCCATTAAGTGTTTGATGCACTTTGAAATGTTGTAATTTGAAATCATTTGGATGGATATACCTGTGTTGGCTAGACCCACCCCGGGACACCAGGTACTGCGCATAATAGAAAGGGGTCGTAAAATATGACCCAAAAAAAGTGTTTGATTCATAGGCCAACAAACAACAATTGAAAGTTTAGGTAATTATAAAAATACTAGTAATTTAGGCAGACACTTTTGAGAGGGTTTATAATTGATAAATCAACCCCAAAGTTGATTTTTTAAAATATGATTTGAAGTGTTTGATTCACGCTGAAATTTTAATAGCGTCTTAATTAAATATAAAAAAAATTAATTACAAAAAGGCAAACACTTTTTCCGGGGTTTAATTGCCGGCCAACATAAAAATGAATGAACCTCGTTATGCGCCACTATGCATTGAATAAGTATATACTTTTTAAAAACTAAACATTTTAAATTACGAAGACTGAAATAATAAAACAATAATATTTTTCATTTTTTTAAAAAAAAAAAAAAAAAAAAAACAAAAAAACTAAAAGTTTCGGGGCTCGAACCACCAACTTGCTATCCACACTATCCAAATTTTCATAGTGTGGATAGCAAGTTGGTGGTTCGAGCCCCGAAACTTAAGTTTTTTTTTCCTAAAAAAAAAGGAAAATTATTGTTTTATTATTTCACAGTCTTGGTAATTTAAAATGTTTGGTTTTTAAAAAGTATATACTTATTCAATGCACAGTGGCGCATAACTAGGTTCATTCATTTTTATGTAGGCCGGCAATTAAACCCCGGAAAAAGTGTCTGCCTTTTTGGAATTAATTTTTTTATATTTAATTAAGACGCTATTAAATTTTCAGCGTGATTCAAACACTTTAAATCATATTTAAAAAAAATCAACTTTGAGATTTATTTATCAATTATAAACCCTCTCAAAAGTGTCTGCCTAAATTACTAGTATTTTTAGAATTACCTAAACTTTCAATTGTTGTTTGTTGGCCTCTGAATCAAACACTTTTTTTGGGTCATATTGTACGACTCCTTTCTATTATGCGCAGTACCTGGTGTCCCGGGGTGGGTCTAGCCAACACAGGTATATCTGCTTTTCCATCGAAATGATTTCAAATTACAAAATTTTAAAGAGCATCAAACACTTAATGAGATGTGTGTTACTAGAGGTTTGTTCCAACACAATAGCAAATTGGTTTACGTACTGTCGGGATTCTGCGCAGTCTAGATTTGATGTTCCAACAAACCTCGGACTCAAAACTGTACAAAAACCTAGTGTTCCAACATACTCAAACCTAATCACAAACCAGTTTTTGTACTGTCAAATCAGTTCCTGGGTCTGAATAGGAACGAATTGTCAAGACATGTGCAAAACGAAAGTGAGATCGTAAATAAATCTCGACCAACTCTGGAAATGTCGTGATTATATTCGTTTTGATAGCATCATCGATCATAGTCTCGATCGTTATTTGATTTTTATTCATTATCTTTATTTATAGTATATTATTGAGTATACAAAGAAAGAGTATAGAGTGTAGAAAGTGAAAAGGACTATTATTCTGACTTAGATACAGTAAAAAATAATAGTATATTATTAAACGAGCAATTTATGGTAGCCATTATTCACGCAGGGTGACGTTTGCGTCCTGAGCCGCAGGCGAATGGCGCAAGTCACCCGAGTGAATAATGGCCATAAATTGCGAGTCTAATACTATACTTTGTCCACGACCATTATGGTTTCTTTATTAAATAAAAGTTACGTGTAGAATGGAAAGTTTTTATTAAACATAGGTAACTAACTGTTTTTTTTCCACTTTTCAATTTTTCGATTCTCGATTTTTTTGATTTTTCGATCTAGAAAATATCGTTATGAAAAGTATCGCCTATCTTTAGTTATCTACCGCAATGTGCCAGAATTACAAAAGCGTGAATTATCATAATTCACTCCGTGATATATGGGTACTATATGCTTTTAGTTAGGAGGTAGAATATTGATTTATTATTAAGTGGTCGTGGACAAAATAAGTTAATGAACTAATCAGTCGAATAATCAAAATTTATAAAATCTTTTAATGAGTTTTAATTTTTTTATTTACCAAATTTAAAATTTAACATCTGTTAATGTTTTTGTTTTCTTTTACGTTATTGACAGTGTGTCTGACAACATAAACATGTGTTCCAACACAACCAAGTTCCGAATTTAGTCCCAATCATCGACAGGTCGTGGACTGGTCGTCGACTATCAGTCGTCGACAATAAGTTGTGGACTGGTTTGTGTATGGTTCCAAGATTGTTGTTGGAACAAACCTTAGATCTCCGGCTACATTGGCTCATTTTTCTGGCAGTATGCCTTGTAATGTCATTTACAGTTGTTCTCATTGGAATGAACTTTGTTCGCACTATGCTCTCACTTCAAAAATAAAACAAAACAATGTGTATGACTTTGATATTAAATTTTGACTGACCTTCCTTTTTAGGGCTAGGAGATTCAATGGTTTTCCATTGGGAACTCTGATTTTCATCTCAGAGTCATATTTATAGACCCAACTTTCATTTCCAGTTGCAATTTTGGACAGGAAGTCCAGAAGACGATACTTTAAGTCCATGCAAACTGAGATACGAATTTTACTTCTGTTCATTACTCAAAAGTCTGGGACCAAATTTTACACTCACTCGTCTCATTTGTAAATTATCCGTTAAAATTCTTTGCACGGACCTGTACGTGATGCTAAGTTCTTCAGTAAGCTCTTGAATAGTTATTTGCGTGTTTGAACAAACTATTTTTGCCACATTTTGCACGTTTTCTTCTGTTCATGAGATTAATAGACGTTGCGCATCATCTACTGACTCATTTCCGTTTTTAAATCGCTCATACCACTTGTAAACAGTCTTCAGAGTTGCTGCAGTATTGCCATACACCAACTTCAACATTTTATGAGTTTCTTTGGGGCTTTTTTGCAACTTAAAACAGTGACAGACAGGGTAAATACAAATCTCATATTAGCGGCTCTGGACGTTTCCTATCAAGGGATCAGGCTATTGGACAAATTACATTAATGGTTGTAGTATCAGCGGTTACTGCTAAAAAAATTCATTCACCGTATTTTTTGATCACACCTCGTACTATATACATCAACTTCTTTCATTTCTATTTTTTTTTTAATTGTCGATTCAACTCCCTTTTAGTAAGTTCTTTCATTTCCCTGCATACAATGTCAAAGTTGCATATTTATACTATTTGTATATTACCCTAAAATTAATTATTGGAATCCTTTATGGACCTCATATCTTAGTATCTCTATCTGGTGCGTTGAAATGTTAGGACTCATTTACAGTAGTTAGGTAGTTCCATTCTCACATGTGACATGAAGCAGTAATAACATTTGGCACAAATCATTTACTATTGGTCTGTTCGGGTTTTTTAAAAATACATTGAGAATTATCAGAGGACTAGTTGACCAGTGGACAAAATAATTGGGAATTCAACTGTTCCACTGGTTCTCGGACGGTTTGCATCAAGTTTTAAAGAAACCCAAACAAACCCTATATGTGCAACTTTTTAATTCCCTTTGGCAAGTTTTCAAGTTAATTTAATATCAACAATATGGTAAATTTTTCTTTGCGCAAACAATTCTTAAGAGTCATTTACTTGTGGCGCAAAAAATTGCCAAATAAAAAAAAACAATGGCTTTTTAATTAATAATGGAATTTTGAGTTTGGTCTATAAGATGTGATATATATTTATTAATAGTTTTATTTAAAAGTATAGTATTATCATTTATTAAAATAATAGAATGTTTATTAATATTTAGTGTTCAAATATGTTTGTAGTTTTATTACTTTTAAAATAATAGTGTTCTGATTACGGAGCATAGAATAAATTATTTATTTTACAATTTATTAAAAATACATATTTTTATATTTAATTATAGTTTTAATTATGAAAAATGTATAGCGTGAATTAAATCAATCAATCCATCACCAAATATATATAATCTAAATACTTTAGTGAATTCATGTTTTTTTGAGCCTACATATGCACAGAAAAAATCATGATGTTGCTAGTGATGTGTAATTCATGATGGAACCTAAGAAAATAATTACTACATTCATACATAAAAAAAAACTAGTTCCAAAATGGTGTTGGAATTGAACTGAAGAATTAAATTCTTAGATTTGTTCGGGTTCTTTAAAAATATTGTTCCATCAAATTTTAAAGAACCCAGAACAAGCTCCTTGTTGCAAAAGCATATCCTATTCAATACACATGTGATTTGTGGTTCATCCTTAAAACGAGTTCTAAATTTAAAATTTTGTATGTTTAACAAAGATAAGTATTTCATAGGACTTAAGAAAAAGTTAACTCATTTTTTTACCTTTTTTTTTTTTATTGGAATATATTACTATTAATACATAAAATTTTGTACATTTTGGATAATACTACAACATTGTATCTTTGACTTCACCAGGATTTTCAAGTGCAGCTTTTCTTTCATTTATTGCAATTACCAGTTTTCTTCGTGGGCCAATTTCCATGTTCAATCTATCGAGGTCACTTTCTTCAAGTATCATCAACGTGTCCAAGTCAATTTTTTGTTCTAAGAATTTTGGAAGGTATTCACTTAAGCCGAAAGCGGTCAAGAATCGCTCTAGGGCTCCATTCGGATTCTCATCTTCACTAGAGCCAGAGTCTGTAATATTTATAAAGAAATTAAAATTTAAATGGCCGTCTAACCGAAGATTTTGCAGATTCTGGATTTTACTATTTTCGTACATCTTACTCTTAATCAGTAAAAGTAATAATTTAAGTTTATTTGAAAATTTGACTATCTCTTACAATGGATATTTTTTAGTATCTACTGTGAGCCACATCTTTTTGACCTACCTCCTACCTTTGAGCACGTTGGCAAGATAAAATTAAGAAAAAATATTTCTCTACATCCACATGGATATTAGCTTATCTACACACAGATTACAAAACGAAAAAGTATGCTATTGCATTCAACTGAACGAATATATTTCATACCCATTCTAGGTAGTGAGAACACTGCAAAAAAATTAAATCCACCAATCACCATTCATATTTTGATATCGACTGCTATTATTTTTAAAATTTTAAATAAGTGACAATTCTGTCAAACTAATTGTCAGTATATTTTTTAGTTCTTGATATTAAACATACATTAAAACGGGTTATTCTTGTGTAGAATCGATAAATAATAGCATTTCTGTTTTTATTTCATCTATAATTATAAATAATTTGTTTGTTTAAATAAAACTATATAAAGTCAATTTAATTACGAATATTAAAGCAACAAAAATAAAAAAGTAGGTGGTCCTGTGGTCAGGGTTCCTGCCTTCCACACATTAGATTCGAGTTCGATTCTCGGATGGGGATAAATTAAATGAACCTTTTTTGTTTTTCTTTTTTTATTTTAAAATTAGTTATTTTGTCTTAAAAATCTAAAATATTTTTTTATTTGTACATTTTCGTTAGTGGGTCGTAGAAAAAATATACTGAACAAATCAAGTGGATTTTCACATCGCGCTCTGACGATTGAGCACTCCGCCTACGGCGTCGTGCTCAAATTTCGTCTTCGTGTGATATGGCCATCATATCCACTCTTGTTGCACAAACTACTATTGTTTAACATGTATTTTATGAGCTGGGCTCACATCAACCCTCTCACAAACAATTCTCAAGAAATAACCCCTTATTTTTATTTTTTAAATTCCATCACAGTCGACATTTTCAAAGCCATGTTCTGTATCTGTAACAGGTTAACCCACGGCACTTAAGCCTCATCAGGCCCATTGTGTATCCTCCTAAGTAGATAAGTACCTCCTAGCTCGTGAGCCAGCCTACATATTTAATGTAGTTGACAACGTCGCCAAGAGGAGCTTTCTCTTATATCGGCCGGTGTTAGCAAATTCTCGCCGAACACAAATCTTATAATAAATGAGAGCGTCGGGCAATCGTAGAGGATATGATTCTGTCAACCGCATGATATGGAGATGCTTCCGTACTTTGCAATGACCAGTCAGAATGCCTGTGATCAGGCGCAGATTCTTTCTAGTATTTATTTGCTGTAGTATTGTCAGGATAACTTAAAAGCTCCCTGGCAAGTCTGCAGCTTCTTATTTTATCCCATCTTCCTTTGAATTTCGCAAGGGGATGTTCTTTATTTAGGTTTGTCATCCCGATGTTGTCAGTCCAATAGAAGGACCGCCAGGTCCAAAAAATATTTGGTTGGCTGCCTTAGTAATGAGTCCTGTCAATGTTTTCAACTCATTCTCATTCATAAATAGTTAGATTCTTTTTGAACGTGCATGGTCTTCTTATAAAGGTTTTCCCATACTTTTGTTTTGAGACATTCTGTATCTGGTTTGGTTGTTTCTTCTGACCCTCTTCATTGCACTCGATCCCTTGACAACCCGGCATCCAAATTAGTTTTCCTCTATTTATGTCTGCCAATGTCTTGAGTTCTTCAATACAATTCCGTACCAGCCTCGACGTCACTCTCTGACTCGATATGGCCTTATGGGCCGTCTGGCTGTCTGACATAAGAATCTGCTGGTTTTCGGCAGCTCTTCTATTGTTTGTACTTGAACATTGCAAGATTGCCTAAAATACTGATGTAAGTTTTCCTTTTACATAGCTAAGGTTGGTGTTAGGGTTTTTGGAAAATGCTCCAGCTCCAGTGTTTTCCAGTCTTAGACCACCCGTATGTATACCAGGTTTGTTACTTTGTGGTGATCTCCTTTCTATTTGGTATTAGAACCTCGAATGGAGTGTTGAGCGACGCTTAGTTAGGTGATCTGTTCTCATGTCTAGCACGTTTTCTGTCACTAACTTCGAAATACTTGTGTGACCTGTCTAATGTTAAGATTTCCTAGAGTGTTCTCTAATCTGCAAGCCCTTAATCTTGCCTTCCTATGTATCACAAAGTGAAGTACTATTAGGACTTCCAAAATATTAGGGGTGTTTCGTTATTACGTGTCCACAATATTTTTTTTAAAAATTTTATCCTTTTAGACTAACTTGATTTTTTATCAAAAATTTCGAATGTAATGTACATAAGGTTAAATACAAGATAAAATAATTTCCAAATACGGTAGTGAGTTATTTAAAAAAGTTTTGGGTTATTCCTTGGGCTTATTAAATTAAAAAGACACACATATTTTTTAATTTTATCTGGCCAACTACTCAAGTATGTAGCTTAATAAAAAATTATGAAAGTAAGTATAAAGGAGAATATTGTCTTCAAAACTATATAGTTAAAATATTGCGAATTTTATTTTTATACTGACCTGATAATTCATCATCTGTCACATGCCTCGGTCCGTAACTTTCTCCTGAACCAATTGAACTTTCTTCATGATTGCCATAAAATTTGCCAAATGTGTTTTGAGTGATGCTTTTTCTACAAAAGTATAAGTACTATACCGGGTGTTCAAATTAAAGTGTTACAGTTAAATACGGCCGAAAATATGCATTTTAGAGACAAAAGTTTTATAGTTTTTTAGGGGAAACATTTTGGCTAAATTAATTTTTTTATAGCTGACCATAATATGGCTATATCTAGGTGGATTTTGTTTTTTTAAATTGGAACCACAGTTTTTTTTACATATTCTTAAAGTTCATAAGAAAATAAGAAACTTTTGAGGGAAATATTTTTTTTATTGGACTTTTACTTTTTGAGTAACAGCTACTTGAAAATTTTGCTGCGCGAAAAAAAAGTTGGAAAACGATTTTAGCCAAAAATTTTTCCCCACAAAACTATAAAACTTTCGTCTAAAACATTTTTTTTATAAAAGGCGGTATATAGCTGTAACGCTTTAATTTGAACACCCGGTATAAAGAGTCATGATACAAAAAATTACAGATGTATAATTCTTAGCCGACAAAATTTAGTCGAGTTTTGTTTTTTTTGTTTTTTTTTTTCGATTTATGGCCTAGGTGTATATACCTAATGTGCCAGTCTCAAGTTCGTGTTTAAATTCTCAATCATGTGTGTTCTGTGTAGGCTTTGTTACTGTTTCCCAGCGCCACTTCAGGAACAGCGTTGTTAATTAGAACCCAACAGTGAATAATCGAGTGGGGAATCCTACCAAGGCATCAGAATTAATTTAAAATAATTAAATTAAATAAAAAAATCCCGGCCAACGGTGGGATTCGAACCTGGGACCCTTGGATCCACAGGCAGAGACTCTACCACTGAGCCACCCACCCCCTTAGTCGAGTTTGCGCATGACGTATTGTGGTGTAATATGGCCATGATCAGATTAAAAGTGCCGACGAAATCTCGTCGAGTTTGCGCATGACGTATTGTGGTGTGGAATATGGCCATGAACAGATTAAAAGTATTTTCATCGTAGGTGACTGTTGAGATAATTATTATTATTTTGTATACGAATGTAAGTACTGTTGCAAGATTTATACAAACAAGAATGCCACTAAGTTTTCAAGACATATTAAAAACTGCAAAAAGTCTCCTAATGCGCTGAAGAAAAACTCAAGCTCAAATTCAGTTGGACCGTCTGTGGCCAAATGTTATTCCTAGTTCTTGTTCAAGTGTTAGTGTTGGACGTTCAGAGCAAGAACCAGAGAGTTGACTACGCCTGAGCCTTCAAAGTGCACGACGCTGTCGATGTCTGTTTCTAAATTTTTTGACACAATGAATATAAAAGAACAGGTATTTATAAAATAATATATAATTATTAATAATATGTACCATAATCTCTGATGAAACAAAAAATTGGCACGTGTCCAATTTTTAATCTCTTTTAGTGTTCCCAAAATTGGTAATTTGGTAGATTCATTATTTTTATATGCCCATTTAAGCAATATTTAACGAATTGTTATCATTAAAAGGTTTGAAAATATAAATCTATGTTGGCTTGAAGCATTTAAAAATTTGACCCTTGTCAAATTTCTCAATAAGAAATTAGATTTTCCTATTTACCACAAATTTTCTTCCGATTGTTTCAGGCAGAAACTGATGCATTATTGACAAGGGCAGTCTATGTAACAGGTGTACCTTTGTCACTTTTGGAACATCCATTATGGGAGGAATTGTTTCATAAACTACGGACCTGCATACAAGTTACCAACAAGAAAAGTTTTGTCAACCACTCTTTTGGAAAAAGAATTGTCGTTAGTTAAAGTCGAGAAAAACATAAACTCTTCCGTTAATCTTTCAATTTAGCATTGGATGGGTGGTCTAACATGAAGGGATCTTAAGTTTCATTGTGTATACACCCAATCCATGTATTCCTTTGTTGAAACTAATAGGAACAGGCATACTTCTGAATATATACTTTCCAAAATAGTTCAGATTATAGAAAAACTAGGACTTGAAAAATGTCTAGTAATTATTTCGGTCAACGCCTGAAATATGTTAAAATGTGGAAAACTTTTCAGTGAAAAGTTCCCTCACATAATATGGATGACTCACACTCTCCACTTAATAATTAGTGACATTCTGACATGTGAAACTGCTAACAAATTTTTGTGTGGAAATCATAAAAACCATAAGCAATTCTCAATTGTTAGCAGCTGAATTTAAACAATTAAACTCCGAAAAAAAATGTACAATCCCTCTTTGCATCTGCCAGTCAAAACCCGCTGGGGCAGTTATCTAGAGTGTTTAAATATTTTTAGTTGTTACGAAAAGTTTATTGCAAACAATGACAATAAACGAAGATTCCACGAAAACTTTGTCCAAGAAGCATAAACAAACTTTACTCGATAACCAGTTTTGGTCACATTTAGAAAACTGTAGGAGTCTTTTGCAATCAGTTTTGCATTGGATAACATATTTGGAGGGTGACTATAATATCATTCAGGTAGTCGGCATTTTTAGAAATAGGAAAAAAGCTTGAACAGTATTTATATTTGGTCTTACTTTTCACAGAAGCAGAAATAATTAAGCAAACATTCGAAGAGAGAAGACAGTATACTTTAAAGCTTATTCATTTGGTTGTTTGCCTATTGGACCCCAAAATAGGACAAAATATGAACAATATTGATAATCAAAATCTTATGGTTGAACTTCCTATGTATAGATCTCGAGAAGGAATTTGGGGAAAAGAATTTGTTTGGAAAGCTGTTGAAAATGAAAACATAAGTGCTTTGTTATGGTGGAAAACCTTTTATCAAAATACTGACTTAGTAAAAGTTGCAAAAAGAATAATAAATCAAAGGATCTATCATACAAAAAATGATACGACTAATAGTATATGCAGACGATATAGTGGTAGTAGCACGGAACAAAAAGCCTAAAGGAGACTGGTAAACAACATAAACAAGCAGCAAAAGAGGACTAGAAATAAATGGATAGAAGAAAAAATACAAGAGAATAAGTTGGAAAGATAATCCGAAAGAACAAAAATAAATAATAGAAAACATAAATTTGAAACAGTACAAAACATTAGATATCTGGGACCAATGATAAACAATAAAAACTGTAAGAATATATAAATAAAAAAATCCAAGCAGGCTAAAAAGCACATTATATTATATACAAGGACATAACGAAGAGTAAGAAGATTAGTAAAAAGACAAAATAGTATATAAAACTGCCACAAGACTAGTAGTAATATACGCAGGCGAGACAATCTGCCTAACAAAGAAAATTGTCGAGGAGTACAGACGGCTTGTGAACACGGAAATAAATGTTATATTAGATGAAGAAGATATAGTGAAACTCATAAAGGCAAAGAGAATGCGATGACTTGAAAAGGAAACGAATCACTAATTAAAAAGAATGAAATGGCATCCTCAGAATAACAGACCGAGGGGACGGCCGAAAATGAAAATTCTTTGGGAAGACCAAATAATAAATTACATAAGATAGAAATTGTTAGATGGAGAGTGAAGATCAGAAACAGGAAGGAATGGAGAAGAATAACTGAGTTTATTGCTGTACTTTAAAAAAGGATCAAAAGTGCTCCATTGCAGCTAAAATTCTGCAAGTAATGTACAGCCATCCATAATAATGTCATGTCAAGAATTTCCTGTTTAAATTTATTATGAAAAATATCTGAAAGTGTATCCGGTTAGGATTATTCTTTAGAAAATTCTATGAGTAACTCTTTCGAAGATAGAAGCGGATTTTTTGACGAATGTATAAATTCTAATTTTTAATTGCGTTTAGTTTTGTTTTTATCAAAGAATGAAAATACTGGATAGAGCGGTATTGTGGTGGATTAAATTCTAAATTTTGGTAAGAAGGTTGAGAAAATTAAATATAAGAGTTCAGAACGACTGCATAGTCGCACACCAAAATAATTCTATGGTTTCTTAAATAAATATCGTGTTTTGCGATTATGAAGGCCTTTTGAACTGGTTAGGTGTCGCGTCCGCGAACGTAGCTATATCACAAATGCTTACATCCCATTTTTTCTTACCTGATGACAATGCTTCCCATTCCAGGTCTAATAAATATGCTCGACGGTTCTTGTTGCATTTTGTTATCACTGTTATTCCTCATTTCTTGCAAAAAGTCGGGTTGAGATTTTGATCTTATCAATCTTCCAGGAGGTGGTGCTTGTTGATTAGCATTGATATATTCATCTTCATTGAATATGCCGTCTAAGCGGCCTCTTTCTTTTAGGTTTATCGTTTCTAATGTTCCTCCATATAAAACTTCAGAGTCTCGACGAATTCCTTTCAAGGAGTTCACTGTGAGTTTTCCGTCTTCTATACCGCTTACCTAAATATAATAAATACTATTAAATAGCTGACGGAATATTTCAAAAATTTAGTCTTGCAAGGAATGACAATATGTTCTCTCTATACCGCTAGAGCGTGCGCACACTGGGTAACCACTAGAACAATTCATGTTAATTATACATAACGCACTACCGACCACGAAGAAGAGGTCGCGTCGGCTAACGAAAACCGTGTTAAATGAGAGGTAATGCACTGACGACTAACAAATATAGAGAAGCTGCTATTCGCTCGATATTCATTTAGAAACTATAAAAATTGATCGCTTGATATTGGACGCGATTACTGACGCAAAGAAGTCTTGGCCGTCGCGACCTGGTCGCTGAGTGCACGCATTCTCTTACGGAAACAATTATTCTACTGGGTGCCCAAATAAGAAGGATGATGGTCATATTCAAGGAACAATTTATCGTACAGATCTAGAATATTTTTTTTAACAAGCGTAATGCATATGGCCAATGATAAAAAAGGTTTTTCTTGAAATGGCAAATTTTTTACTAAAATTCTTCGTCGCATAGTAATATACTTAGAAAAAGCGAGTCAAACATCAAAAAAGAAAAGTGATAAATAAAATTAGGATAGATGTAGGCAATCTAGGTAGAAAAACTCAGCAGTTGTCAGAGGTATTTAAAATTAGGATTAATCAGAGGTACTCTGCTTTCTGAAATTTTGGTTGAACAAAAAACTAGTGGCAATCCAAAGATTGAACGATAGATGAATGTAGATTACAATTTTATTTGAAAAAAAGTAATAAGTATTATTATTGCATGTGTGTGCTCCCCAAGTAGATCTAGGAGAGGCGATCGGGAAAGAGTTATATGAACAGCTTGATGGCAGGAAATTCTTGCAAATGAGAGGATCATCTTGAGACTTTGCCAACAGTTGTTTTCAGAAAAGCTAGAAACGTATAAAGAGCTACAAAAACGGAAATATCATGTGAAGAGGAAGTTTTACCACTCATTATAGATTATTGATCTTAGAGAAAGATATAATAAATAAATAATAATAAATAATGTTTATTTCATAATAATTTACAAAATTGAAAAATAATATACATGAACAATTAGCTTTATAGATGGAATTTTTTTTTTTTTTTATGTAGTGACTGATAACCTAAGTATTTGAAATAAACAAAGCAACAGAACCCTAAGAACCCGGAGGTTGTGTAAAGGTTGTCATTTTGAATATAACAGTGAAGCATTCAGATTATTAATTTTGTTTTACTCACACTAATACAGCTATGTTTATATAAAATAATGTAATAGATTTTTTAATTTTTTTTTTTAAATATATATCAAATGTATAGACCATATAAATAAGGGATTTTTTTTTTAATTTTTTTATTTAATTAAAAAGTTCATATATCAGGGATCTTTCGTTCAATAGATAGTTTTTAAAATATTTTTTAATCATGCTCAGATTATTTAAGTTGTATTTAAGATGTAAGTAGTAAATGCAAAAATTAAAGAGAATGCTTGGATGGTGGGAGTTGAAAGGTGTTAAAAGAAATCTAATTTAAATGACTCAGACCAGTGCAATTTGGAGGAGGAAAAACAAATAAATAGTTAACTCCGCCTAATGGAAAATATCGAGATGATGATGTTGAAGATAGTTAACCTACTGATTTAAGCCTTTAAAAAATATTAGTAGTATGACATAAAAGACGCAAGAAAACAGTGTTAAACGGCGAGAAAGTTCGTTACACTAAAACACGTTAAGCAGCAGACCAGAAGAAACCTTGGAAGGTATGTATTTAGGAAACTAATCTAGTTAGTCCACTATGCCTATGTATTGATCTACTCAAGGTATAACTTCTTGATGGTCTATCTTTACTTTTGTTTACCCTTTCAGGCATCCTTCCGTTCTCCCCTAAGGGGTTCTAGCATGCTTTCCAATCAGGCTTGCGTTCCAGGCCCTGGTTCCCCAATCAGGCTTGGGCTCCAGCCCCTGGCCCCCTTCAATAAGGCTTGGGCTCCAGCACTTGGCCCCCTTCAATAAGGCTTGAGTTCCAGCCACTGCCCAGACAACACACCAAATCCCAGAGATATCCACAGAATATCTTTTGTGGATATCCAATATATCTACAGGATATCAGAAATATTCCGTGGATCTAATATGGATATCCAAATGTCCGTCTATATCCAGAATATAGAAGATCTCCTAATGGATATTCAGCAAAATATCTAATGGGTATCTTCCAGAAAATACAAGAAATCCCAGAGATATCCACAGAATATATTTTGTGGATATTCAATATATCCAATATGGATATCCAACCAAATGTCCGTCAACACTCAAAATATTTTCAACACTCTGCCTTTGATTTTGCCCACTAAGGAGAAAGTCATCCTTATTAGGACTCTTCAGCAATAAATGGAAATTCTCGACTCCAGTCTCTAATGTAGTCTGTAGGACAAAAATATTTTCAACACTCAAAATATTTTCAACACTCTGCCTTTGATTTTGCCCACTAAGGAGAAAGTCGTCCTTATTAGGACTCTTCAGCAATAAATGGAAGTCTGATTGCGATACCAATTTCGGGTTGAGCATGAGTAGATATTCAACGAGCGAAAGTGGTATCGCCATCTATACTTAGTAAGCAAAATCAAAAATTATATCTAGTGGATATCCACCATGGTTTGCGTTCGCGCCTAGACTTTGATATATTTAGTGGATGTCCATGGGATATTGAATACACCTTAAAAAAATTAATTTTAAATATCTGAACGGTACTATTAGCCACAATGGCGTAATTTTTTATAAATTTGCTATATAATTACTATTATTTATGGACATTTGCATGTCTATAAATTACATATCATGGATATAAAATAGATATCCACCATGGACTGGACATTCAGTGGATATTGGGATGTGCAGTAGATATCCAAAGGATTTGGTATGCTGTCTGGGTTTGCATGTCTATAAATTACATCTCATGGATATAAAATAGATGTCCACCATGGACTGGACATTCAGTGGATATTGGGATGTCCAGTAGATATCCAAAGGATTTGGTGTGCTGTCTGGGTATAAGTTCGGTCATCCATTCAGACTTTGGTCGCGCGGTCCAGTGACTGCTCACATCGCCGTTTTGAATACCTTTCAGAGTCAACCAGCGAACTGGTTTTATTTTTACTTACTTTAAAGTCATCATCGGTTGATCCTAATCTATTATTCTTATTAGCTAAAATTTTTCTTTGTACAGTGCTCATGTTTCCCCTGCCAACGACCGTACCACCGCTCACAATGGCACTGTAAGTACTCCTTCTATCTGGCTGGGACTCATTTAACAGATTTGACATGGATCCTCCTAATTTCGATCTCAAAGTCGAAATCATCGATGGTCGGTGATCTTTACTTTTTCTCCTCTCTAGTTTCTCGCTTAGTTGTTCTTGCTTGACCATTCGTTTGTTGAATTGCTGGAAAATAAAGGTACTTTATGTTAGGTATGCTTGGAGAATGTTCACAGGCCTTCCAATTTAAAATTTGAATATGCTAATCTCAGTAAAATATTTTGTAAAGGATATATTTTCATTTACACTTTTAGTTTAATTTTTTTCACTCATATTTTATACCTACTTTTTTCCTTTTTTTGGAATCCTCTTTGGCTTTGTCTTGCAATGATTTTGCTTTTTTCTTATCTGTAGCCTCTAGTTTGGCATGGACGCCATCTATGAATCTTAAAATGTCATCTCTGTTGTTAATGCCGGCGAGTTCTTGTGGTGTCCTTCCGTCTATGTCCGTTGCGTATATATTTGCTCCGAAATTTACTAGGAAAGTTACTATGTGTTTATGACCTTGCGCTGCTGCCAAGTGTAACGCAGAGTTGCCAAATAGATCAGCCTTATCAGGATCTCCTCTAAAAAAGTAAAATTATATTTTTAACTTTATTTAAATTTACAGTGAAATTAGGCTGCAAAGTAAATGCAAGATGTTTATTTGTCGTATCTTGAAGAACCAATTTCTCCAATTAGGTTCAATCGTTTTATTTTATACACAAGGAGAATATTGCAATTTTCCTACTTTTTTGATAAAATATAAGCAAAACTGTAAAAATGATAAAAACGATTGCTAGAACAGCATTAACAAATATAAATGCGATGAATGATTACTGAGGCCCCTATCTATGGAATCCAAATATCGCATTCATGCCGACGAATCCGAAAACGCAAAAAAAAAAAAAATCTCGTCTGGTCGTCTGTGCGTGCGTATGTATGTGCACCGGGCACGATAACGAACGAAAGATCCGATCGACCTGTAGTTTTCACTTTATTTGATAATTTATTCCATTCGTGAACCCTATTGATATTCATAATTTTCGGTTTAGCGTCCCTCGAATTTAGATGTTCCACTGCTCATTGAGTTGCTGCTTTACAAAGTTTAAATAATATGTAATTATTGGACATACTGAAATATTGTCAAGCTTGCTTGGTTTGATCTAAGGACGCAGAATCCGAAAATCTCACGGTAACTAGATGTTAAACAGCAAAAATAAAATTGTTGTGTGCTGTTTTAAACTATTATTCATCTAACTCTCCAACATAAGTTGCGTACAATGTTATACAATAATTTATATGTATTATGCGTATAAATACAACTTAACTTTGTCGTACACCCAATTTCAAAATTAATATTTGTTAAAAATAGACTTATTTTGACTTTTGATGTCTGTAGAGAAGAATATTGTCAACATTACAATTATTTTGCCTTTAAAAGTGTGTCTTTGTAAAAACTATTAATTTTTTAGTTTAAAAAAATATTTTTCACAAAAATACTCGCTTTATTGATAATTCTACGCAATGTATTTGTGAAAATAAATGGAAGTTGAATTAAATTCTGAAGACAGTAAAGACCAGTGGTTATTCTTAACGTTTGTCCAGTATATAGTCATTTTCTTTTTATAGGTAAAAGGTCTTTTCCTTTGCATCGAAAGTGTAGCACTGAGCTACAGGCATCGCATCCTAATTTATCAGTAGTGGGGTAAAGTTTGCGCACTGCTGACACACCTCCAAACGATCTTAAGGCTACTATTAAAGCTCAGTAGCGTATACTACTTTCGCTTAAAATAAATTTTCTAGGATTTTTAAAACGGTCACGGTCAGATGAATCACAAAATTTTAATAAAATTACCTAAAATTTTAATCCTTAATAACGGTCAAATCGAGTTCGCCCTCGTTTCTAAGAATGTTTTATCAACAGTGGCTATCATTTGTTGGTATTATAGGAAATACCAGAGTACCTACACAATGGATCAAACGCAATTATGTAAATAGGTTTTTTTAAGCACTACATAATTTGTTAAAATTTATTTGTTATCTATGAGCTAAAATGTATTCTGTTAAAAAAATTTATTGGGTGAAAAAAATGGTGATATTGCACTTGATATCTTCAATATTTTAACAAAATGTGAGGGTGAAGTAGAAGTGGTGAAAGTCATCAGCATACAAATATTAAAATAAGACAACGAGGATTTTTTAAAAATATGAATTTATACTAACCTCTATTCCTTGTTGCTATAACTACTATCAAACAAAACAAATATAAACAAATTAACAGAGTTCTAAAAAATCGTCATCAAAATAATCATTATCACTAGAACTATCACTGCTGTCTTCATTAACATTAATAATAACTGTAGGAATTACAACTTCATCCATTATAATTTCGCGATCTAAATATTTATCTTCGACAGCTATTACATGTGCACATCTTTTTTTCCAGTCTTGCTTGGGTTACTGATTTGAATTCAATTTCAGCTAACATTTGTACATGTGCTAATTTAAAATGAATATTCTTTATAGCTACATTATTTCTTACTACAGCCCAGATAATTTCTATTGGATTTAAGTCTGGGTGGTATGCTGGTAATCTCAAAATTGTATGATCGTGTTCGGAGAATAATAAATTTGTATTGCTTGAATCTATTTTTATGCTGTTTCATTAATGTGCACAGCTGTGGTCGTAATAAGGAAGGTTGAAATTCAATATCTGGCCCCAGACACACACATTAATAAACTGCTAGGAATAAAGCCCATATTACCACCAGCATAAACTATAATAAATCTCTTTCCTTTCGAAATGGTGGAAAACAAACCTTTTGCATTATCATCATCCCAATTATGTGATGATGTATGACTACTGTGTATGTAAGTTTCATCAATATATACAAAGGGACGGTTTTGAGAACGAAAATATCTAATTTTTTTAATATAATTATTCTTTTTTCACTGATGTCAAGCCGTTTTTAACCGACTTCAAAAAAAGGAGGAGGTTATCAATTCGTCGCGATATTTTATTAAAACCTGTCTGTTGTTTCGCATTTTTCTCCACTTGAACCCAATTTTAAAAATGATGTGTAGCTCCCTTTCCACTCAATTTCCTTTTTTAATTTTTCATTAAGAGTTTTGACTGTTACGCGCATACCTTCTGTTTCGTGAAATCTATAAACTATATCTCTGATTGTTCCAATATTGTATTGTAGGATGGAATATCTGTTACACTTGATGTTCTGCGCTTTTTTGGACTTTTAAACAATTGTTTAGGTATGGTCGACGTAGAATTTTCACCTTTTGATATCTGGTCACCTTCTATAATTATTCGTTCAATTGTTTTTACCGAGTATCCTGTAGCTTCAGCAACTTGTTCTTTAATTTCATGAGAGTTTTGGGATCATCATTGTCTTTTTTTTAATAGCCCCCGGACAACTCGGGTATTGTTTGCATCTTTCTTTAACAGTTATAGTAGGCGTTAACAATTGAAATTTGAGATTAACGCGCATCCCCTCTTCAGACAGTTAGGTTGCGATGCCTGTACGCCACTTCTAAAAATATCGTTCCATCCATAAAATTTGTTTAAATGGAACAATATTTTCAGAAGTGATGTAGCTCAGTGCTACACTTTAGATGCAAAGGAAAAGACCTATACTTGACTAACTAAAAGTTAGATTCTGATCTAAGCTAAGTTGTAAAAAGAACGCGAATTTTAGTTGACACGTCGACGCGTCCCTCCCATGCACATACTTTGATTTTCTTTTACTATGCGGAGAATGGTCGCACTGCGCAGCTTTCTGGGTGCCTTTTAAAAGGAGATGGAAAACTCCGCCATTTTGAACCCTTATTACGTGTTGCCTACATCTTGGCGCAATATTTTAAATAGGTGCGTTTTAATCATCCGCTTCTGCTTCGGAATTGTCGGTTTTCTTGTTTTAATCTGACAGGTTAAAACGACTAAACCGACAATTCCGGAAGCAGAAGCGGATGATTGAAACGCACCTGATATTTTGATTGCTGCTGTCAGTGTCAGTGAATATTATTTTTGAAGTCACAGTTTATTGCTAAAGAATCAGTTAGCTCACTCGGACCAGTTGTAAGTTCCAAAATAACATCCACTCCAGGGATACAAATTCAGGATACGCAGAAGACTGCTGTTTTATTGTAGGCGGTTGTCATATATTGTATTATCCGAGTTGCACAGTGTATAAACTGAAACATTGAGATCAAAAGTGCCGACGCAGAGTGAGCGATCTGATTCTTTAGCTGTAAACTGTGTCACAGGGTTCAAAATGGCCGCGCCCTATGTTGGGCGTGTCGGACCTCTCTCTTGCCTCGTATAGTAATCAAAGTATGTGCTCCCATGTCATCCGTTTAAAAACAAACGACATTTTTATCAAATTTTATAATTTCTTCAACATTCATCACTACGATCTTGTCCCCTGTTATCATACATAGGCTTTTAATCTCTCTAAAATAATGAACTCATAGGATATGTTTGTTCGTATGATGCACAGAACACTCACTTACTGTTATGGTTTATGGTTGACGTCAAGATCCGTGTACTAGCATCGGTAAGAGGATAAGAAAGATTCTGAGCTTAGTCGATGTAAGATTAGCTCAGATTAGTGGTAAAAAGAAAGAGACTTATGTTTAGATCAGTAGCACAGTTTAAAAGAATCAGTTAGCTCACTTGGACCAGTTGAATGTAATAATATCCACTCCAGGGATACAAATTCAGGATGCGCAGAAGACTGCTGTTTGAATATCGGCGGTTGTCATATATTGTATTGGTTATGATTTGATTCTGTATGCGCCAGGGATACAAATCCGAGTTGCGCAGTGTATAAACTGGAACACTGAGATCAAAAGTGCCGACCCAGAGTGAGCGAACTGATTCTTTAGCTATAAACTGTGTCAGTAGACTCCTACATAATATTCCGAGCCTTCTGTCACTATGACAACAGAAAAATGAAAGTGATTTTTCTTATACAATGAAATAAATTTAAATTTGTAGCTGCTATTTAATAAACAAATAAATAGTTTATACATAGAATATTGCAGTTTAATTTCTATGAATAATTTTATCTTGAACATAATTGTATTATCCCCAAGAAATACTATTAATCACTGATAATGAAATTTTATCTCTATTTAAATGTGATTTATTTTTAAATGATATGTCACCTGAATCATGTCCAAGTACCTATACCTATCATGTTCTAAATTTTATTTACGGTTTGTATACTTTTTAAGATTTGATAATTTGGCCAATACTCCTAAATATTATCAAAATCTGAAAATTAAATAGAACCAAAAAATATTGATCTATTTCTCTCATGGTAATTTCAGGTGTTATTTTTAAAATTTCTGTTTTATTCAAGGATTAATTAAGGCATAGAAATTTGTTTTTGCCTTTCCAAAACTATCGGGGCATAAAAAGAATCAATCTTAGCATGGGCGTCGTTACACAATTCTATAGGGAGGGGCAAAATTTTGAAAAAAATGTCTATTTGTTGAAAAACAAAGAAAATAAAAAATAAAAGAGGAATACGAATTAATAAGTCTCTAATAAATAAAATAACCCAACAAAAAAGACAAAAACTAAAATAAAAAAAACAAGAAACATAAAACACATTTAAAAAAAACAAACAGAAGGTGTGATATAAAATAAAAATATGAACAAGAAGACACAGCCATACATAATAATAAAAAATAAAAATTTATAAAAACAAAACATAAAAAAACTCACTCAAACACGTCGATGAACACAAAAAGAAAAACACTAGAAAAACGCAAATTTTTTTCTCTACCAAAAGCATCGATAACTGAAAACATAATTTCTTTTTGTTTCCTCTGATTATTTTTCGATGTACACTCATCATGCATAGCCCAGTCAGCCTATTTTCATTCATTATTCGCTCCGTGCGTGACAGCAGCGTCAACTATTTTGTGTTAGTTCACGATATTTGCGTATACTGACAATACAATTTTTATTGAATTCATAATTAAAAAATATATATGTTGATTTTAATAAGAGTATATGGATTTGTAAAACGAGTGAAAAAAATTTATTATTAGATATATATTTTTATTATTTCAGCTAAAAAAGTAGTATAATCAATAAAAATCAATAATAAAACAAAGGCAGGTATTTACGAAAAAATGTATGAGATGTTGCCTAAGCCTATTAAGTTGTCATTAAAGAAAATGTTAAACAATGTCAAAATAAAAACATTACCATTATATAATAACGTAGAATCAAAACGTATTAACAAAAATAATTGGTATATTTGCGATTATAATTTATATTTTTTTCATTTTTAGTTCAAAAGAACCCATAGGAATTAATGATTAAAACTGGTTTCCTATCAATAAGTCACAAGATTGCATTTCAGCCATATACAGTAATCAAAGGCTCATTTTATTATTTTTACTTATTTTTTAAGAAAAAAGTAAAATGTATACGTGTATTTGATACGTCAAAATTATAAAATATCGCCCTAGAGAACTCGAATTATCCGCAGCTTGCGCTAGTATCGCTTTTGCTCCCCTACCCTGACTTCGCACTGAGCGAATAGACCGCAGCCATGTTTTAACATACCTTAGCATGCTAAACGTTCTTTCGAGTGACGTTGTCGTTGGTAGTGATGGGAATAATCGAATGATCGTCATAATCGAATACTCGGATGATTAAAATTCGAATTGTTCGAGTATTCGAATCATATCATTTGAATGATTTATTTTATGCCATCATCAATGATTGGGTAGGTCAAGATCAATGGGTCAAAAGGTAATATATTGACAGTTAACGATCCAATTAGAACGCAGTACACCAAAGTCTAAAACGTCATACGTCAATATTTACTTTTAATTATCATGCAACCGTTTTGCTTTGGAGTTATTGGGTGGTTCTCCGACTTGATAAAGATCTATCCGATTAGAACGCGATACGCTAAAAGAAAAGACGCAAAAACTTTGCATGTGTATCCTACTTAAGGAAAATAAGCAATTTTGGATGCCTATTCTACTCCATATTTCAACAAATCACCTGGGTAGCTATTCTTGAATTCGAGGGAGTAGAAAACCGGTTTGTCCTCTTTATCTGCAACGCATAAAATTTCTATTTTTGTCTCATTCTTCCCTCAAAATTTCTACTCCCCAAGATTCAAGAATAGGTACCCTGGTGACCTATTTTCAAACGATTTCAAATGATTTCTCTCATAAGAAATGTCATATGTCAACGTAAAAACAGTATTTTGAAAGCCAGTAAGAAGTAACATTCTTAGGAGTATATTAATTCTCCCAAAAAAACTGAGAAAAACAGTTAGTTTTCACTGGTTTTAAAAATACTATTTCCACGTTGACGTATGATACTTCTCATGAAAATTTTGAGAGAAATGAGTACTGCCATAGTTTTAAAATATGACTCTCGTTCGTTTATTAAAATTTCAGACATTTCAAATGATCCGAATGATTTTGGTATAATCGAAATAATTCGGATAATGGTAATAATGAAATATTCGAATGATTTACCATTCTAATGATCACATCACTACTCGTTGGTGGAAGAGCCATAAATATTTTTAAAGCTCTTTGTATGTCTGGATAAAATTCACAATGTTTGAACGTTATATCATTGTGTGCAGAAACTCTTTCGTATTCCAGTTAGCTATTCACGTTTGATATTCAGCTTGTCAATTCCAAATTTTTCCACTATTTTCACTTTCTGATCGGCAGTGAAAAAGTTTATTTTTTATGTTTTTGGATGTAACAGGCTTAAGGAAAAACTAACACTAGAGTCTTCGGAAAAGAGGGATGAAAGCGACGTAATAAGGGAATCCAGATATGCAATAAATATATTCAACCTATAATATTCTTCAACTATATTAGCCTGAATAGTATTTCTATGAGATTGCTGTTCGTAATGCATGTCTTACGCGTTGTTGATTAAGTCGTAAAAGTCAGGGAGGGCAACTGCCCCCTTGCCCCCCCCCCAAACGACGCCCATGGATCTTAGGTATGTTCTGTATCAGAATCGTGATTTAGATTTTTTGGTTCCCACAAATCATATCTCCACTAAATGTGGAAAAATTTCTAACAAAAAAGTGAAAATAGCAAAATTGCCGAACCTACAAACATCCGCTACACAGGTCCCGGCAAAGAGGTTTTTGAAACAGAGTATAATTAATAACCCTTACTAATTAAATGTATACAAAGATGGTGTCTTTTAGAAAAATGTGGCTTTTCTTTTATTAGTTCTTACCCTCTTCCACATAATAATCGTAAAGCATCTAAATTTCCATAAAATGCTGCGTATAAAGTTGGTGTCATTCCTTGTTCATCTCTAACGTTACAGTCCCGTTTTGTAGTTTCTTTCAGAATTTCAATCAAGCCATCCTTGGCAGCTCTGAAAAAATAACCACAAGTTATAAAACGTAAAAAGTAATTTTAAAAAATAGACTCCAAAAATGAAGAGTTTGATGATTTTCTCACGGATCATTAGATCTTGACCAAATTTATATGGGATCACCCCTGAGGTACCCTCCTTTCTAACAAAAAAAAAAGAATCATAGAAATCGGACAGATGGGTTAAGAATTATCGCTGAACATACATAAAAATATATACAGGGTGAATCCTAAGTTGATACTTTTTTAAATGTGTTTAGAAGTCGCTAAAATAAACATCGTTTTCAAATAACTTTTTTCAAGAAACTCAAACTAAAGAAAGATAAAGAAATAAATTAAATCAAATTAAATCCGAACCTGGAATTCTGTTTCCAAAATTAAATTAAATCTGTCTACATTTTTATCGGTTTTACCTTTTGTTGGATTTTAATGGAATTTCGTTAAGATGATAGAAAATAAAGAAATTAAAAATATATAAGAAGGTAAAAGAAATTTTATTATTACAAAAAAATAGGTTTAAAGAATGACCAGAGATGTAAAGAAAGATTAAAAACAATAAAAAGGATAGAATCAGAGACATATAGAGGCAGGACAAAGACGGGCACGGCAGACACAGGGAGAGGTAGGAGAAAGACAGACACGGCAGACAAGCAGAGATAACAGATCAATAAAACAAGAACTTTATTTTTATAATTAATTTGATATAATATTTTAGATCCTTGAATCCACCCCGAATTAAGAGTTTTGTTTTATTGATTGGAAATCAGAAAACTAAAGGAGGTTTCCATATCAATATTATAATATTGTGTTCAATTGTGTTTCATTAGTATGAATTGCATTATTAATACGTATTTCATTATTAGTTTGTAATGCATTTAATTGTACTTCATCATTATTCTGAATTTCGTTATTTATTCGAATTTCATTATTAATGTGATTATCATCATACTATAAGGAAATGGTTATAGTAGATGCGTGTTCTGACGAACTAGCGTTAGATCGAACACGTACGAAAATATCAAATACACAGTAATAAACAGTTGTGGTTCTATTACAAACGAATTCTTCGTCAGAACCCGAACGAATTCTTCGTCAGAACCTGCACGAAGTCGTCAGAATAAGAGACCTTTCCGAATTTAAATGCGAATTGTGAATTTCAAATATGGATGTAGAAAAATTAATTGGTTTAGTTCTCGAAACTAAAGGTTTATGGGACATGAAAGATAATCTCGACAAAAATGGGAAAATATTGAGCACAGAAAATGAATACAAATCGTAAGTATACATATATTCCATACCACATAAATTAGTAGATCTTGTTGTACATTATTGAATAGGAGTTTAAGTTTAATTAATTAAAAATGCTATATTTAAAATCTACTGCCCTTACTGGACTGCAAAAGAATAGTCCGTTGCAAGATAATCTAAAAAGCCAACATGCTGATCAGATCCGGCTTAGGTTGAGTGTTACTTGTCCAAATGATAACGATAATTTTTAAAATTTAATTTCTACAAAGATCCTTTTGTGGTTTAAATTGCATTGAAAAAACATTCATTTCAAAACTACTTTATTTACAATATGTACATATGATTTTTAATAACATTTAAAATACATAAAAAATATAACACGCCGAGTACTTGCATTAAAATAAAAAAAAAAATAAAGGTTTTATTAAAAGGGTGAACATACAGTTTCAAAGTTTAATAATTTTCTCAGTTATATTAAGTAAATTTTCAAAATAATATTTTTGCACATTGCAGGAGAGTTAATATTAATCTCTTTAAAGAAGGTAAATAGGTTACATATTTTATTTCTAAATTTGCAAACTAGTCTGATAATACTAAATGATATATACATAAAGGGAGTTTCAGTATTTTGTATCAGAGCTTTAATACTTTTAACTTTTAAAATTAATACAAAAAGTTTACATAAACTTTGTCGTTTTCTAGATACTTGACTTTTTATTGTTTAATGTATACCTATTAATTTTTCATCGAATTTATTATAATTTTTTGAAATTTATCATCTGATAAACAATTTATTGTTTCTATTAACAGATCACCCGTTTTAAGATTTCAACATCGTAATTAATCGGAAACCTTTTTGTTTAAAGAAGTATAGAAACTAATATTTTTATTAAAAAATACATGCCACAGAAAAATTATAATCATTTTAATCCTTAAATATTACAAGTCACTACAGCAAAACGATGTCCGTAATGTGTAAATTAAATGCAAAATTTAGAAAATCTTGTATCGATAAAAATAATTATAAATATTCCCGGAATGTATAATCCCTTGCTCCAGGATGAATTTATTTGTGTGATTATAGCACCGTAATTTGTTATGTATGTATTTTAATGGGCTCTAGCGCGTAAATAAATAAAGTAATTAGCATGGGTACACATTAAGCGTGTAAGATTATCCATACTTACACAGGAAAAACAAATGGGTTTAGTATTACAATTTGATTGGTACTTAAATAATAAAAGATTACAAGTACCTATCATCTTGGAAATCTCGAGGTAAGTTGACTAATTTCGACTAACCTACAGAATGATATTTTTCTGACAGCTACACTTTTCATCCGATATTAATGCTAATTTATTTAATTAAGAAAAGTGTATCTATATATGTTTTAATCTACATTATTTATCCATGAAGAATACCATCAATTTAAAGGTTTTTCTTCAATTGAACTATTCCAGTAATAATTATTTTTACAAATTAATAGTCAAAGTACATCACTTTCTTATAAAAATATTGTTTTCCAAATAACAAAAAAAAAGAGACTAATATTACTAGGTTAAGAAATGTTAAAATACAAAATTTTTTTTATTAGCATTTAAATGCTTGGATGAATTAAAAATTCTGATTCTCAATTTCAGATTTTCCATAAAGCACAAACGTACCTTGGAGTACCATACAGAAATAAAGATTTTACAAGAAATTTTTGAGAGCGGTATTAAAAAAAACAATTTTATTTACTTATACGATAGTACGCCATATGACAGCGACGATGACGTCGAGTTTGATGACGATATGGAAGGATATAGTATAAGTATTAGTATAGGTATTCGAATTTGTAGATATATATTATGTTATAAAAAAATTAATGTCTTTCTAATTGACTTCTGACAGTTGACCAATGGAGTACTAAGATATATTAAAATAATGTTGATAAATCGTCAGAAGTGAACTGGATGGAATAAACTATAAAATACGAGATATAATGATGGATCGAGTGGAGCACCGGAACTCTCACTATCGCTAATATCTCCGCTATTCTTCCACCTAGCCTTCTGACGATTTGCAAGTAATTTTATTTTGAATTGCAGAATAAGAATACAAATTGTCAGAAGTGTACCTAATGACATCATTGTTTCTAAATTTTTCGCAACATGAGCGACATCTGACGACTTTTTCTCTTCCACCTAGATTTCTGACAATTTTTTCCCTACTTTCTTATACTATCTCCGGCAATACTGCAAATTTTCAGAGCTGTACCATATCACTTATTTTGCGAAAAAATTACATTTTTAATCCCCTACCCTTACTTTATACTTCCAGGGTGACTTCTGACTGCCCGCCTCTCGCTATGTTGGTAACAATTGAAACTGTAAACAACAAAATTTTGACTTTGTGTCTAATAATGTTACATGCACAAAATGTTTTTCCCCGGCTTTTTTTCAAGGCTTTTTTCCTGGATTCATATGGGAATAATTATTATAATTACCAGAATAAACGTTTAAAACTATTTCCTTGGCATCACTAGAAAGGTGACAACGCTTCTGTTTTCCTGTTTGTCCAAATTTATTTCGGAAGAACACTGTTGAACATTAACTACCTCACTCATTTTCACTACTTATTTAAACTATATAGTACCGTAAATTCCACACCAATACTACCCAGGGCCGGATGCTCCCGTGGTCAGTTTTCGTCTGCCATGCGCATGGCGCCACTCATAGCCTGACTCTCATTAGGTAGAGGGGAGTGCTTATTTTCTCTGTAACACATTTATTATAACAGCTACAACAAAATGTTTATTACAAAAGATGTTTATTCAGATTCGGATCAGAAAAATATTAAAAAATATAAAATGACGAATTTCATGTACTTTATTTTACGCGTTACTTTCGCTGTAAAATTGGTCACTGTGATTTTTTCACGAATCTTGCGGGAAAGCTTTTTATATTAAGTTTATCTTTCCTTTTGCTAAGATGCAACCACTTATTGCTAAGGTTAGGGTCTTTAGGAAAATTAAAAAAAATCTTACAAACATTCTTACGAAATATTAATATTATCATGTTTGTTCCTCAAACAGAAAACATTAATTTTTAAAGTCTATTTGGGAGCACCGTCCCTGTTCCAGCCAATACACAACCTTTGTTCATGTTTAAAGCGAGACGATTTTCTACTATAAATTGCAACAGTCTATAGTTCTTATAAATATCTCCTATTTGAGCCGCTGTTCTTCAGAGTGTGCATGCAAAATAACCACTGTTAATCTGAACAACCATACCGACGTTTTCGTCTAACCACGCGAGAAATTTTGTGGATGAGAGACACCCGACTTCGAATCCTATAAAAGGCCACATACATTTATTTGCATGGTTCTCCATAGGATTTAATGGATGCCGTATTAGTAGAAATCAAATCAAATGTCACCATCAATCGTCTTTTAGAGCGCTTTCACATGAAGATACTGTATGCGAGATACGCGTATCCGAGATTCAGGCTGACCATACATTCAAATGGACCTATTCACACGATACGAGTGACGCATACAGTATCGCGATACGGAATTTCTGCATCCCGGCACCTTCAGCCGCGGATGCTGAATGCGTATGCCGCATACAGAATTATTATTTTCAGACATGGATACTTCTGCAACGGAGATTATATCATAGGCGCAGGATTTTTCAATGGTATGTATCCCGAGTGCATTTAGTTTAATCGATTAAATTGTATGAGAAAACAACATTTTTAAAATTATGTTTA